TTTTTTTTTTTTTTTTTTTTTTTTTTTTTTTTTTTTTTTTTTTGACTGAAAAGTTATCAAATCTTTATGGTGCTCCAAAGAAATCGGTTGGATTAATGTTGGATCTATTGAGACATTAGGTGGCTTACTGATTTTGTGGGATGCTAGTAAGATAAATGTGAGATCCCACATCGGTTAGGGAGGAGAACGAAGTATTCTTTATAAGCGTGTGGAAACCTTTCCCTAGCGTTTTAAAAACCTTGAGGGGAAGCCTGAAAGGGAAAACCCAAAGAGGACAATATCTGCTCGTGGTGGACTTGGACTATTACAAATGGTATCAGAGCCAAGCATCGGACGATATGCCAACCAGGAGCTGAGCCTCAAAGGGGGGGGTGGATTTGGGGGTCCCACGTCGATTAGAGAAGGGAACGAGTGTCAACGTGGACGCTGGCCCCCGAAAGGGGTGAATTGTGAGATCCCACATCGATGGAAGAAGGGAATGAGTGCCAGTGAGGATACTAACCCTGGAGGGGGTGGATTGTGAAATCCCACATTGGTTGGGGAGGAGAATGAAGCATTCTTTATAAGGGTGTGGAAACCTCTCCCTAGCAGATGTGTTTTAAAACCTTGAGGGAAAGCCTGGAAGGGAAATTCCAAAGAGGACAATATCTGCTAGTGGTTGGCTTGGGCCAATACAACAAAAAAAACTTAGGAGTTTCTTAAAGGAGGCTGCACTCTCTCAATTGAAATATTTTTCCAGAACAAGTGAATTTGTTGGGTAACACATTTATGAACCAATTGACTATAGAGAACGAAAATGTATTCGGAATGAATGCGGTCTTTATTCTCTCATACTGTGAAGGAGCCTTGGTGCATTGGTGGCAATTTTTATATAACTCGTTGGGTTCATGAAAGATCACCATTAAGAAGAAAAGCCAAAAGTTGGGAGATAATTCATAGCATTCTTTGATCAATAGCTTTTTTTTTTGTTTCGTAGGAATAAGAATAGTTATTTGATGATTCAACAGTAGAATGACAAGCTCAGATTTTTTTATTGAGCTCTATCCTTTACTCTCGGAAGCTGGACGTTTTGTTTGGGTCTTATCCCACTTCAGATTTTATATCAGTTGGCTAGAAATATCAGTTTGTGAGGTCATCATCAGGGAAGCTCTTTCCATAGATTTTCATGTTGATGCCTTTGTGGAATTCAGTTAGTTAGATCTTTTTTGGTGAAAGAATTTTGGCCAGCTTTTATTAGTATTGGTTCTTGTTGTCATCTGTTGTTGCTTTTCGAGGTTTCTCAGCAGTCGAATTTGGTTTGATGGGTCTTGTTTCGTTTCTGACAATTCTCATTTGATTGTAATTGTTTTATAATCTTGTTCAATTTCTTCTTTCATTCCCACATAAGATTTTAGGCAATAATAAATTTGGGATCTGTTCTTTTTTGTTCTTATCACTCGATATAGATGATAGCATTTCATTATAATCATAATGGCTACTAATTTAGAGTTTTTTACTCGTTTCTAAACAGGTTCAGGCAGCTGATTCTCTGCTTAAGTTGGTTTCAGAACTTAAGCAGGCAGCAATCTTTTCTGGATTTGCTTCACTAAACGACCACGTGGAGCAAAGAATCGTGGAATTCAATATGCAGGCGGAGCAGACCGACCGTATCCTATCTAAAATTGGTGAAGAAGCTGCTGTAGGGCTTAAGGAGCTTGAATCTCATTATTATTCTTCAACACAGAGGACTTGTCAGAACAGCCTGACATGATTTGTAAGTAGTGAATGTAAATAAGGATTTGATATTGTTGGCTTCTGAACTCAATTTCTCGCTAACATGGATAGTAAAACATAACCGAACTCTTCTAGCCTATGTTCTTAGTATTTTTCTTTGGCTTTTATTGTTTTACCATGCTGGATATGCAGGAACTAGCAGAAGGGTTTGGTGTCTTTTCTTACTCAGCTTTTTAGAAGAGTAACAATCAGAATATTTGTGTCAAACTAATGTTATTGCTGAGGACTATGGTGGCAAAAATGGCCGAGCTTGTCGAAGGTCAAAATAACAAATAAAAAATTCATGGATTCATTTATGATTGCCCCAAGTATTACTTACACCTCGAGTAGGTGAGGAAGTATACAGTCCAAGTCCATCATTAACAAATATTGTTTGCTTTGGTTCGTTACGTGTCTCTGTCACTCATAGTTTTAAAACACGTCTACTAAGGAGTTTTCATATCTTTATAAGGAGTGCTTCGCTCCCCTCTTCAATCGATGCGGGATCTCACAATTTACTCCGTTGGGGGTCCAACGCTCTTGCTGGCACATCGATCAGTATTTGGCTCTTATGCTATTTATAACTGTCCAAATCTACTGCCAGCAGATATTTCACTTTAGTTCCTTATATATCGTTGCCAACTTCACGGTTTTAAAATGCGTCTATTAGGCTGACCATGAGTCAGAATGGACTAAATCATGGGCAGAGTCAGAAAAACTATTATAGGGATGTGACATTTTTTCTTAGAGAACTATTATAGGGATGTGACATTTTTTTTTAGAGATAGAAACATTCTGTTGCCCACATTTCAAAATATAGAATTCATTGTCGTAAAATTGTTGAAAATGGTCTAATCAGGGCTGTGATGAACTATTACTTTTTTTTTTTTTAACTTTAAATGGTTAATTTTGTTTTCTGTCATATCAGGTTGTCTAGCAGCCATTCCAGCTGCATTGCTAGTTCTGTCTCGACCAATGGTTTCATCACTTAGCTCTGGTGGTCTTGGTGGTCTTAGTGAGGGCAATCTCCCTGTGCCCTAATCTTCTCCATCTTAGTCACCGTCGTCTGTGCCCTTATGAAGGCCGCCATGGCTGGAATTCTTGTCAAATGTGTTAATGTTGGGAAAATGAGATTATGCATAGCTCGGTGGTGTTTTCTTTTGAGAATGAATCTTTTTATTGACCGAATTCGTCTCCAAATATGAAAATTATTAGATTTTTTTAGTATGATGTTTACTTCTATGTTAACTAAACTCAACCAAAGAAAAAAGAAATCACAATTTTTGCATTTGGATGATTTTAGCTTGAATGAAAGGAAGGAAAGAAATCTATTTACCGAGGTTCAGAAGAATTAATCTTAAGCTCCTTCCTCAAAAGAAGAATAAAATGAAAGAAGAGAAAAGAGACTCTTCATGGACTAATTTCATAAGGCAGGGTAAAACTCTTTTATTTGATTTCTTCCTACACCCTAGTCTCACGATTTTATTACTTCAACCTAAACAAAAATATGATTTGTTCTTATGAACTAATTTATTCTTATGATTTTTGGATTCATTTGATTTTGAAGCAATGCACGAAAAACACTATATATAAACTAGAACTAAGGAATGCGTGCGTGTTGAAGAATGAGCCGGTGACTCATAGGTAGTTTATAAATAAATTTCGATTTTCATGGAGTTTTCCATCCTAGTATCTTCATATTTCTCTTTACATCTTCTCTCTTATGTTCTTAATCTAGAACATCCACCTATTCATCTTAAGAACGACTAACATTTTCTACCCTATACTTTTGAGTCTCCTAAATAAAAGAGTATGCATTACTTTCATACCTATCATAAGCTATAATAGGGTTTTTTTTCCTACCAATATTACTAATACCTATTATGTGGTTTGAGTTATAAAAAGAAAAAGATGATCGTAAATTAGACCAATGGACCTATTTTACCATACGCACGAATACATAGGAAGAGTGTTCTACCTTGTCTAATTAAGTGATCATGAATTTATAAGTAATATAAACAAAAAAACAAACCCACAAGAGTTTATACTCAAAATGGAGAATATCATATTATTGTGGAGAGTTTGTAATTCCTAATAGAATCATCAAGAAAGGATTTATAATTATCGAGTGTAACTAAAAACAAAACCACGAGAGTTTATGCTTATAAAACATGTATTTGTAAGTGAAGTTTGGGATTAGTTTTGATTTATTGTAGTATGGGAGGTTTTTATAAAACTTTGCCTTTCTATTTTTCTCAATGCGATTTCTATATATATCAATTTTGTGTTTAACTCTCTAGGGCATGCATTACTTTCATGCATACTAACATAAAACCGAAGTTACTTCAATAAATTTGCAACGACAAAAAAATAAATTTTCCTTTCAACTTATAAAAAAATCATAAACTTAAATTAACATCCATATTTAAGACATGATTATGTGTTATAATCTAATCACCACTGACAAATATTGTTCGCTCTGACCTGTTTTGACCTATTACGTATCGCCCTTAGCTTCACGAATTTATAAGTGGAATGTTTCATTTTTCTCTCTAATCGATGTGGGATCTCTCAATCCATTCTCTTGGGGGCTAACATTCTCACTAGCACACCACCTAGTATCAGAATACCAAATTGTGAGAAACATAGGTTAGAGAGCCAAACGAAGCATTTAGTATAAAAACCTCTTCCTAAAAAATGGGTTTTAAAACTGTGAAGCTGACGACGATATGTAACGAGTCAAAGCGGATAATATTTACTAGTTGTGGGTTAACATAAATTGCACACAAAAAAGGTTAAAAAAGTTTACAACTACAGTAAATTCCAAAGGGAGTACTCAAAATTCGTCAAAATGTCCATATTCTTGCTGTACTACTAGATTAAAAAAATATTCTAGATCAACTTAAAATTTCGAGTATGATGAGTTGGTGACATAAACAATTCGAATAGAGTTCTCAGTCCAACTTTTATAGTTTGAGTTAGATAGCTTGAATTGATCAGATTATTGGGTCATATAAACACTCCTGACAAAACTTAGGTTCGAATGTTCCCTTAATTTCAGATTAAATTACCCATTACAATTAAAGATCTAAAAATGTAAATATAAAACGAAGAAAAATGGGAAGTAATCTTTGGTAAAACTTTGGATGTTACACATTCACACCATTTATTCTGAAATGAAATATGAGGAAAAGAATAGGTGCAATCCATAGGTGTGGCATTGTACTCTAATGTGATCCAAATACATCACATCCACACCCCTTGTATGATGTCCTAACAACAAGTTTGATTCGCTGCAACTTGCCAAGGTTGACACTTCAGTTCAAATCATTTCATGCCAAGTACAAGAGTCTTGTCACTCCCAACATAGCCTACCCAACTTCCTTTTGTGTATTCATGAAAGAAAACTAGAAATTAATGTATAGTCTCCCACCACATCAACGATCCGTTAAATTTAATACTCGAGGTAATGATCTAAGTCCACTGCTAATAGATATTGTCTCTTTGAGCTTTCTCTATTAGGCTTCCCCTTCAAAGTTTTTAAAACACGTCTGCTAGGGAGAGGTTTTCATCCCCTAAAATGAATGTTTCCTTCCCCTCTCCAACCAATTTAGGATCTCACAATCAACCTTCTTTGGGGCCCAACATCCTCACTAACCCTCGTTCCTCTCTCCAATCGATGTGGGATCTCATAATCCACCTTCCTTCAGGGTCCAACGTCCTCGTTGGCACACCGCCTGGTGTCCACCCCTCTTTGAGGGCCAGTGTCCTCTCTGGCACTCGTTCCTCTCTCCAATCGATGTGAGATCTCACAATCTACCTCCCTTCATGGCCCAACGTTCTCGCTGGCACACCGCCTAGTGTCTACCCCCTTCGAAGCTCAGCATCCTTGCTGACACACTACTCGATGTCTGGCTCTGATATCATTTGTAATAGTCTAAATCCACGGCCAGTAGATATTGTCATTTTTTGGGCTTCCCCTCAAGGTTTTTAAAACACGTCTGCTAGAGGGAGGTTTTCACACACTCTTATAATGAGTGTTTCATTCTCCTCCTCAACCGATGAGAAATCTCATACTCGACATGGTAAAAACGTTAAAAGAGTGCTTGAAAAACTCCAACCATATCCCGTCACTATATTTTCAGTTCAACTCAACACTTACGAATGAGAAGATTCAAACAGGTTAACAACTGCTCTCTCTATTAACCGTGTTATTTCACCTCGATCCAAAAAACAGCCAAAAAAATCATGAAAAACATTAATATCTATAAAGCATATCAAAACCTCCATATATTTGGTAGAACAATCAGAAGTATATCAATCACCGCCAAGATCTTCATCATATTGGGCATGACATGAGAGAAAGAAAGGCACACTTAGCCAAGAATGGAATTGCCGGCCACAAAGAGGAGGAAGTTGCTATCAACATTATCATAAAATAATATCAAAATCCATTGCCGGCCGGCAATTCATCCTTGGCTTAGTACTCCTCTCTTCCACTTCATGCAATGCCTTTAAATGATATACCACAAGCAGCAGCTGCTGAAGTTTTTGTACACAAACACACATATTTATAGTGATGATAAAGTGGAAGAAGCTAAGGCAGCTTATGAAAAGTCATATATTATATGCTGATTCGATTTAGAGTATTGTGACCTCCAAAAGAAAGAGCACTTTGGGCACTAATTAATAATCTTTTGGAGATTTGGTCAGCCCACACTTTTCGACCAAAATAAACAAAGATTCTGACTGAAGAATAAGAGCAAAGACAAAAAGGGATGAAGAGAGTGGGAGGGGTAAGGGGAGAGGGTGCTTCATGTCTGGTATATTATAAGGCTATGGCTAACATTAGCCCTCCAAACATAACAAACAACCCAACTAAGTTTGAGATTTGAAGTTGATTAGAGAGGGAAATGAAACATTTCTTATAAGGGTATGAAAATCTCTCCTTAATAGACGCGCTTTGAAACTGTGAGGTTGATGACGATACGTAACGGGTCAAAACGGACAATATCTATTAACGGTGGGCTTAAGCTATTACAAATGGTATTAGAGTCAAATAATTGAACAACGTGCCAACGAGGACGCTAGACACCCAAGGAAGGTGGATGGTCAGATCCCACATTGATTAAAGAAGAGAACGAAACATTTCTTATTAGGGCGTGGAAATCTTTCTCGAGCAAACGCATTTTAAAGCTGTGAGGCTGATGACAATATCTAATAGCGGTGGGTTAGACTGTTATATACCGTAAATAATTTTCTTTTTAGAAATATAGTGTCTTTCGAACTTTGTCATTTATTTAAAAAATGTCCATATTCTTTAAAAAATTGTAACATAGTCACACTATTTCAAGTTACCACAATCTATGTTCTAGGTTTCAACAACTATGTTACCACAATCTATGTTCTAGGGTTCAACATCTATGTTACTACGATCTATGTTCTAGGGTTCAACATCTATGTTACCACGATCTATGTTCTAGGGTTCAACATCTATGTTACCACAATCTATGTTCTAGGTTTCAACATCTATTCAACCGTCTAATCTAACTTCTACTCAAATGGTAGTTTTGAAACATTAGTGGACAAGATTTTAGAGTATTTTTAGAAACTGTTTTGATGTTGTCCTTTCGATTTTCAATCAGCCAAATACAGCCCACATTCCCAAAAACGGTAATGGAAAAAAAAAGTAGATATTCATATTCCACCAAAATGGGAATGTAATTCTTGAAAAGTTGAAAGATTTGGTAAGTATGGGTTGTGGTTGTATGCATTCAATTCAATATGTTTTTATTGTCGTTTTTCTATGTCATTCCGAACTAGTTGATAATTCAATCTCGAGAACCAGCTGATAAGCAAACCCTTACAAGATTCACTTCTACAAATAAAATTTCGAGTTGCTTAAAAGGAAAGCTAATCGAAGAATTCACAACACTTGAGTAACAAATAAAATCGAATAGTCCTTTTTGTTGTCCACGACAAAGGATGATTGAATATTATTTCTCTTACAATTCTTTTGAGACATTGTGTTTATTCTTTTCCCATGTTTCCTTCGCAAACGGTTGAATCCTAAATCATCTCTTCCTCTTTATGAGATGTCTTATCTTGTGAGCAATGAGTGTCTTGCCCTTAACTAAAAAGTATAAGTACGACATGACTTGAGTATTTTAAGAAATACACAAGAGTCAAGAAATGCAATCACATGCAACCATGTTTAGGTCTATTAT